TCCAAAAATATACATGCTCATTAAATCCACATTCCCAACCTGTGATGCATATATAGAATACGTTTACATTGTTCGACAGAATTCAAAAAACATCATATGCAACTATGAGAATGCCAATACCACATTTGCTTTAAAAACAGTAAGTTGATTGTCCAAATTAGTGCAACATACAAGGAGAAAGAAGAATATGATCAACGAACTTCAGCAGTCCAGGTATCAGAAAGATGGCAAACACCACAGGATAAAGCTTAGAGAACTTACAAATGAGGGTGGTATAAAGACTTGAATAATTCAAGAAATTCACAACAAAAGGGCAAAATGATTCTGATCAAGCAATCAAGTCTAAATGGAAGGAAGATAGTTCGCATTTGATCGTTGCTACTAATCACAGATGCATCACAAACAAATGAAGACATAAGAGCATATCGCATGTCAAGGGAAGAACAAGAGCAGCACGTGCAAAAGAGAGGATAAATACATACGAATATGTTTACAATTAAAATTGGAATGTACAGGGAGTGACCGACAATTTCAGCCCCATGATTCTCGTTAGATCATTAGATCGTACACAAAAGAGAATCAAAGAACAAAAAGGAACTACCTTCGTAATCCACACAAGTACCTTAAATCGACAAGCAATAGAATCAACAAAAAACCTAGGAATAACGAAAAGAACCGCCAGGATCCACAAATAATCAAATGGATTGCGAAGAAACATTAGGTTTGCACACGAGCGGGAATGTAGCGGGTGGTGAAACGATTGAACACATGGATTGGGTTGAGGTGGATAAAGAAAACACACCATTCTTCTGCCGCAGCGACGACGGGACCTCCCCGCTCCGATTCTGCTTCAAGGAGCTGCTGATTGATTCGCCGAAAGAGACGACGCGACCCCCGCGCCCACGAGAGCGCAAGAGAAGGGGAAGCTTACGAATCCGGCAAGGCGAAGATGCTGGTGGAGGAGGATCGATGGCGGGGACGACCACGCGAAGGCGCAGGGAAAGATCTGGTATATAGGGATCGGGGAAAGGGGGGAATCGCGTCGTCTGCTACTTTACCCTTTCTCCATTGGGCTTCCGCTTGCCGGTAATTTGACTCGCCATACTTTTTTAGTCGACAGCCCACCTGTGATGACCGTCAACAAAGAATAGGAAGCACGCGTGCGAAGCCGAACCAAGCATGCTGGTTGCGGTTGAGGATGATGTGGAGTCGGGCGCAGAACCCGAATCCGATAGTGAACTTATTTGATCCAATGCAAGGATCCATGCCCGAAATTTTGGGGGTCAGATATCGGATTTATAAATGTTGCCATCAGTAATTTGCAATTACGGTTTTTTTTTAGTGAAAGTGGATTGATTGTATTTATCTTATTTCATGGATTTAGAAATATTCAACTCCTCCTATCTTATTTCATGGATACAGTTGTGTGTATGTCATGGAAGAAGAAAAAGAAAGATCGATCAAGATAAGTATTTCAAATTGTTATATGGAAAACTTTTGTTACTTTAGTTTGAGACTCTAATTGTTGTTTTTTAATACGTAATATCTGAAACTAACTTAAGTATTGGATTTGTTATATCATATCACTCTTGATATTAGTTTTATTAGTGATACACGTGACATGATACATTTGTCTGAGGAAAACACTAGTATCCGGTTATCATCACAATGATCGGCTTAAGTCAATAACATAGATTAACGATAAATTATGACACTAATATATGTTATTTTCTTAGTATAGAAAATGAAAGAAATTTTAAAAAAAATCAATCACTTGATTAATATAGATTTAAGTCGATCGCTCGAATAATGAAAGAAATTAAAAAAATTCATCAACCAATAGTTAGTATTCACCATAAATTATTTTTCTTAGTATATTAGAGATATTTATGTACGTGTTTCATGAATAATTTTTGGGACCTTGTATATATGTTAATTAATATTATTTAATCTTAATCACTAGTCTTTAGAGAAGTTTGAAATGTATTTGTTCCTAATAAAGATTAGAATAACTTGTGAGTGTGATTTTTCTTTTTCTTTTTTATTTTTTTGGCCTAGCAAAGTTCTTTACTTGGTCTTTGCATGTTGATCCCTCTACAAAACAAAGATCCTGTTTTGTCTATTGTTCGGTCCACTATTATGTTTTCTTCTTTGTAAATCTTACATAATTTCAGCTATTAACAAAAAATAACTATTACTTGAACGAGTGCAGAATAAGTCTTGCGCATCAAAAACTAAGAGCTCGATGAAGTCTTTCTATCCATGCAAGTCCAACTGTACTTAGTTAACCTTCCTCTTTGCTCTACTGAGGCAACCAATAAGTAGATTGGTTGATCTCACACATTATACTTCAAAAAAAGAAAAACTCTAAATAAATAAAAATATATGTTGTGCTGGTAACTATTAAGGGACTCAATCAATATAAAGGTTTGCATCAATTTCCATGTGTCTAATGTTATATACCCAATTGAGGAGCAACCTTTAATCCCACTAGGATGCCTTTAGCTTCAGAGTAGAGAGGGTAGAGCAGTTGGCTTTGTCACAGAAGCTGCAACCAGCAGCTAAACAGACTCCATTGCTATCCATGAGGAAGTGAAGTGTCTTGGCAAGAACCATTAGTATTAAAAGGATAATCCATTAGGCATCAGTTTGTTCCATTTGATGAGAACTTGGGCAATTCTCATGGTATTCTTAAGATTCAGTGAAGGGGGTTTTCATCCAAGTACTTAAGATATAACAGCGAAGCTACTAGTTGGTGAAAAATAGAGGAAGGGATTGGTTTGTTTGATGTTAGAGAAACAAGTACTGATTTCCAAATCAGCCAAAAGAAGTTGGAATGAGAGCTCTTCTTAAGGTATTTTGCCCCATTGATCTTCCAATATGTTAGTTTCAACAATTATCGTTCTTTACATTAGTACCATGGTATTAGCACCATGGCTTTCAACCTAAATGGTTTCAATTTCAACCAATCCGTAGTTGACAGTCAGGGTCGTGTCATTAATACGGGTTGATATCATCAATCGTGCTCATCTTGGTATGGATGGAAGTAATACATGAACGTAATGCTCATAACTTCCCTTTAGACCTAGTCGAAGTTTCATCTACAAATGGATAAGATTTTTGTCTTAGTGTATACGAATCGTTGAAACAAAGTAGCAATACCCCATATAAGATATGGGGTATTGCTATTTTGTTTGATACAATATTGTTTTTTTTTGCACAGCATACAAATAACATAAATTTAAGAGTTAAGTATAAGATAAGTAAATAAGTGAAAGTGAAAGGAAAAAATTAATTTGACTTTTATTTCAATTTTTTATATTGAATTTATATTTTTTATTTAATTTTTATTTTAATATTAAAATGAACTTTCAATTAACTTAACGACGAGATTTATTATCGTTTTGGCCCCTTTCATCAAAATAAAAGAGGAATTATAAACCCAATTTGCTTATGTAGTGTAATACCTGTTAATTCACTAAAGAATCTACATATAATTATATGTTTTATAAAAGTTTAATTTATAAAAATTAGAATCTTATAAAAAAATATCTTTAAAATTTATTAAGTGATATAATATGTAAATATCTACCTCGACTATCTCTATATCATAAAGAAGAATCTACAAGATTATACGTGGATAATAAAAACAATTTTGGAGAATCGAGATTTTATTCTCAAAGCTTGAAAGTCATTCATCTATCGTCTGATTTTCGTCTTGAAAATATATGAGTCGATCCTAAAATTTTTCTAATGATATGATTTAATAATCTAGATATATTCATAGGAATTTAAATTGATGATCAATTTTGGATTTTAGATGATGTGATAAGGATGTATATTTATAAAATCTTGAAAGAAGATCGAAGTAAAGGAGAGAGAGAGAGAGAGAGAGAGAGAGAGAGAGAGAGAGGAAGTAGAAAAATAAGGGGAAAAAAAGAAAGAGAGGAAGAGAGGAGAAGACGGAGGAAAACAAAAAAAAACAAAAAACAAAAAAAAGGAGAAAGATGAAATAAAAGAAAACAAAAAAATTGTGTTGCTGCCACCCAACCACTGGGCAACGAAGGGAAGGGAGAAAAAAAAAAGTTAAAGCAAAGGAAAGAAAAGACAAAGAGGAACAAAAACAAGATAGAGAGATTAAAATAAATAAATAAACAAGTAAAAGGAGAAAGACAAGAAAAGGAATATAAGGAAAAATTGAAAAAAAAAATAAATTATGCATATATGATAGAGTTTTATTCGAGTATATAAGTTTTGGATGGTAAATTATTTATACAGGTAATGACCTTGTTTTTCTAATAAGGAAGCTTATGACATTTACTTATACAGGTAAATTTATAATTTAGTTTATCATTTATAATTCATGACATATGCATGATTTATACAGGTAATACATTTACCCATCTTATATATTCGTGACATATTCAATAAATTAAATTATGTTGTTATCCTTAAGCTTTCCTTTTTATCCAATAATTCATTGTTTACCATATCACATAGTGATCGATTGCACTTTCCTTTTTACCTCAGATATATGCTATTGTGCTACATCAGGCCCCACTCCTGTGTGACGTCATCACCCTTTAAGAAAAAGAGTACTTTTGCTGAATGATATCACATCAAATGAGATACGTACAGTTCAATGCTTAACTTATACTGACAGCAAGCTATTTAATCTGAAGAATTAGGTTCTTCAATTCTACGTATCACTCCACGAATCTCCAATCAATGCCTCTGCTTCGCTTGCAATGATCCCAACGAGTAACTTGAGTTCCATCCTCGCCTTTCCTGCAGTTAAATGTGATGTTTTGTAGGGCTTTGTTGCAGGTTTTTTTGTTACACATGCTGGTGATGATCATATTGTTTTTTGCCTCAGAATTTATTTCGTTCTTGTTCTTTGTATCTCCATTGATCTAATCAGCGAGATCTGATAGATTTTATCATCATCATCATCCAATCACCTCAGCAATTCTTCAAGGCAAGGATTTAATAAAGTGGTATTTTATTCAATGCATGCCAATCAACACATCAGACGAATTCCATGAAGGAAGAAAGAAAGAATCAATACAGTGCACATAGGGGTCGTCTTCTTTCTTTCTCCTTTGTGAGGCTTCTACAAGTAGTAAGCGAAGAAGGAGACGGCGGAAGCCCCAAGAACGGCGCCGAGAGCGGGCACGATGGCGAAGGAGTCGCTGGCGGGGCCAGGGGCAGGTGCCTCTGCAGCGAGGGCGGTGGTCGCCGTGGCGGCAGCGACGAAAATGGCGCAGGCGATCTTCCTCATCTCCATGGTTGACGGTCGACGGCAAGAGTCTCTGGCCGGAGAACCGCCTGCTGAGTTGTGAAGCTGAGATGGAGAAAGATGACTGGGGATATCTCCTTCTCCTTTGCAGGCCTGAGGAGAGAAGGGAAGGGTGGGGGGAGATTTATAGGACGGGCTTGTGGTCATGCTCCTTCTGAGGCGTTGGCGCTTATTTAGGGCGTGCAGGGCTTACGTGCTCGCATGTGCATGAAAAGTAGGGAGTTCGGGGGAACGTTTCTTTGACCGAATCCTTCTATTAATAGGAAAGGCTAAATTTGACATACGAGAACATGACAGGTTATACTTTCTTTATATTGGAAGATTATGGGAAATGATTGCATCATTTGGATTCGATCGAGAATCTGTAATGGACTCCGAGCCTCCGATGGACGTGCTGATCCGGATCCGGAATCCAGATCCGAATCCGACCGAGATTTTTAGATAGGTAATATGACTGGTGGATAAGGTTAACCCGACATCAACACAGACCCATCTTCCACCACGAACAAGGCTCTGTCCGCAAATGGCCTCGGCTCTCCCCTCCCCTTCCGCGCTCTCGTCCATCGCCTCCTCCGCCGCCGTGGCAGTCGCCAAGCCGCCTCCGAAACCCTTCCTCAAGCCGCACCACAAGCCCCTCTCCACCACTCTTACGGCCGCCGCTGCCGCCGCCGCCGCCGCCGCCGTCCTACTCTCCGCCGCCCCGGCCCCGTCCTTCGCTGACCCGATGTTCAACCTTTACTACGGCACCGCCGCCAGCGCGGCCAACTACGGCGGATACGGTGGGAACGCGGACAAGAAGGCCACCGCGGAGTACACGTACGAGGTCCCCGAGGGGTGGAAGGAGCGGCTGGTGTCCAAGGTCGAGAAGGGCACCAACGGCACCGACAGCGAGTTCTACAACCCCAAGAAGCGCTCCGAGCGCGAGTATCTCACCTTCCTCTCCGGTTTCCGGGCGTTGGCCCCCGTCGACGCCGTCCTCTCCAACCTCGCCCTCTCCGACGTGGGCCTGCAGGACCAGATCGCCACCGCCGACGAGGTACGCTCCCAGGAGCGCAAGGACGACGATGGGCAGCTGTACTACGCCTACGAGATCGAGGGAGCAGGCTCCCACAGCCTGATATCCGTCACTTGCGCCCGCAACAAGCTGTACGCCCACTTCGTCACCGCGCCCAATCTCGACTGGACCCGCGACCAGGACATGCTCCGTCGACTTCACGACTCCTTCAAGACTGTCGATCCATCTTCTTCGTAGCTTCTTTCCATCCCCAATTATATGATACTCCAATGCTACTCCAGAGTGCGGTATTCCCCCACTGCTCTCTTATGGTTCCTTCGTTTCCTCTCTGTACTGTTCTGCTTCTTGTTCATCGTGAGAACTAGAATGTGAATTGAAATAGTCTTTTTGGGAAGCACTGTATAGTTCTGTACTTTAATATGCACAAAAAAGCACATTGTGTTCACTCTAGTATGCTTGGTGATGTTTTTCTCAGAAATTTATCTCTTGAAAGATTGGGATTCTCAAGACACAGTAATGCATCATCATCTTTGTTACTTGTAACCTCTTAATGTGCAGCAGCAGCATATCTACAGAACTATGGATGAAAAGTTTTAGAGAACATATTGTAGAATTAAGCTAATCTTCATAACCAGCCATTTAGCAAAAGTTTTATTCACACACAAGGATTTGAAGTGGTATGTAAATAAAGCAAGTATGACATGAAATGTTTCATGAGTGGCCATCAACTATCCTGAGAAGGATTGTTATAAAAGCAGAGTAGTGGACTGGACATATGAACAACTATAAACAATCAAGATTGATAAGCTAAAGCTCAAGTGAGGAAACAATTCATGTGAAACTGCTCCATCAAGTTGGGACCATAGCAACCAAACTTAAACAATAACCCAGTCTGACAGCTTTTGTTGCTTGTTGATCTGACCATTTATCAACCTGCAAGAACAAATGAACTACTGTCTGAATTTTTTCCCCGCCCTAGAGATTACAAAATGGGTGGAAACCTAAATGAATCCTTCGTCTTAATTTCATATTGTTCAAGAACTCTTTGAAAGCAATTAAAATGGATTGAGTTCTGGTATCGGCACAAATAATTGTGAGAGCAATCTTTGAGGTCCAAGAATATGCAATCTAAATTGGTGACTGATTTTTATTGGAAGATTTTGGAGTTTACTTAATTTGAGGGTATATCTATGGACAGTTTACACAATGTAGGAGATCGATGCTTGTCCATGTGATCTCACAGAATGTGGAACTCTTATCTTGTAGTCGATTAAAGGTTTCAAAGTTACAAATAAACTCAAAATAAACATACAAATGCCGTTCATTCTATTGCATGTCAATAATCCTTTTTAATTTTTTTTGCTTCTAAATGTCACATTAAAATCCAAAACACTTGTAATATTAGTTGATTCCTTGATGATGCAAAGTCATAGAAATGTCATTTTGATACAAGTAGGGAACTTGGGTGTAAGAAGTGATTGTGTTTCAGTTAGCAAGTGATGAGTTTATGCAAAACCTTGCCGATCTGGCCCGAGAAATATGTATACATATATTTCAAATTAAGGATTGCCATGCTGGTTGACACATGTTGGCCCAGATCAGAATGCTGACAAACACGATGTCAAACCAGAAGATCTAGCTTGGGTCAATTTAGCTGCATATTGATAGCATTTAGCAATTATTTTCTGCTAGTTTATTATGTGCAGAGAACCATCTGGTTTCCAATTCCACATTCTCGTCTGAGAAAATGCTTTGTGTATAGCAGATTTTGGTTTTTTTTGCCGAGTTGCGTACCAAACTCCACTTGAGTATCAAATATAGATGATAGACATTTATTACACATCACGATTCAGATTAATATTTCGAGATTGGAAGATTGAAAATGAAATTAAAGCTTCATTGAGTCTTAACATGTATATAGCTTAAACTGCAAGTTTTTTCCTCCTGCATTCTTAGACTTTCAGAACCTTCAGATTTGTTTTGATCAAGCAAATTACTTGTTGGTGAAACACAGAAATGATCCACAAATCTCCATCTGGTTTCAATCAGGCTCTCATTTCCTGGTAAGAAATTCTATGTAAAATGTAGTGAAGCGAAAAAAAATGAGGTCTCATGACCCTGCCATGCTCCTGGAAGTGATGGAGTAAGCACTTGAGGTAGTATTCCTTTTGCTTATAGTTTGTATCATGTAAGTTTCAGTATCAGAAGAAGACATGCAGAGGCAATGTCTACTTCCAGTGCAGCAGGAAATGTGGATTTGACTAGTGTTTTTTTACTGTTCGGATTAGACTTCAAGTGGAGGTCAAACCAGCAATCGCAACTTCCAGTCAATGTAACACAAAGTCAAAGTGATTCACAGTTTGAAGCTAATGCCCTGCACTGCATTCACTGCTTGATGAAATGACCAACTATGTAGCAGAAAAGAGATGCAAGATCCACAAAATCTAATCTTCCTGCTATAGGTATCTGGCAACATATGTATCCATACTAGCATTTTAAGTTAAGTTGATCATTCTTTGACCCACAACTGCTCACTCTTTGTACCACCTAAATATATTTATGTACCTTCATCAGCTTAGAATTTAATATGAGACACTTAAATTAAACCGGGTGAATTCTTGAAAAAAACCATTGGATTTTTTTCTGCTTTTATTTTTCTCGTACAGAGTTTCTATTTTTATTTATATTTTCCCTCATATCTCTTTAGATACGTTTCTTTCTTGGTTGGGTTTAATATATTAGAGACCGGTCCAATGAATTAAATTGAATCAGATTACTAATTAAAAATTAGAAAAATATTGCGGAAGGCATAAAAATATTTAATCATAGTACCCATTTTTTTAAATAATATATAAGCATATATAAATATAAGCATTATATGGTACTTAATTAAAATATTTTTCAAAATATAAATATCTAAATTTATGTTGATATGTATTTAAATTTTTTAATATTTTCTAAAATATCTATGTTATAATTTGACTTTTCTTTCCCGAATTTATCTCTCTAATAATTTTTAAATTTATCTATTCAAAAATTTTGGGGCTGATTCGTATTTATCTATAGTGATTTATAATGTATTAAACCAAACTCAAAACTGAACCACCGATCCAAGAAAGAAGATAAAAATGTTGAAAAAAGCAGAAAAAAAATATCTCACCTTTTTTAAGGTAAAAATTAAAAAGTAAAAGAATTTTCTGGGGGAAAAAAATGAAAATGGGGTATTTCTCGAGAAAAATAAAAGAATGCCAAATCTAGCGGCTTTCTCAGGAAATTCGTCCATTAAATTGCTACGACGATTAAGTTTGTAAACATCACTTCAAACAAGAAGAAGCCTTTGGAAATTACTACGTCTTCCATAGTCGGACTGTGCCTTCCAGCTTGCTTCCTGTGTTGTGCTACATCGGCCTCGCACTCCCATGGCACATGCGGCCTGCATATGGAGCATTTAACTCTCGTCTGCTTCGCATATGGCCATATTCATTGGTGTCTTCCTTCACAGCTTAGCTTCAGGTATGGTAAAGCAGTGACTCCCAAGTACTACAGTTTAGTTATAGCTTTCACGTAAAGTTCAATCAACTTGAAAGTTGTCTGCTCCTCTTCTTGCTACTCCTAGGAAATAATAGCAGCCTTTATTATGTGATTGAATCGTTCAGTGTCCTGTGAGCTCCAACAACCTTGCAGTCTTTTATGGAGAGCATACTGCATCTTGATGGGAGTAGGACAAAGTTACTATCATCTAAAGTGAAAAAGAGATCAAAAGTCATTTATGGAGCAAAAGGGCAAAGGAGCACTAAATTCTGTCTACTTTATTGGGAAGGGAAGATCGCTTCTTTCATTTACGCCAAACTTGAATGCATCATGGCACAAAGAAAGAGAAAGAACTCCCTACCGACATGCAGACAGTGAGATGCAGCAGTTGGAGATGGGCAAGAAGAACCCATCATCACTCTACTGAAGAACTTTGGAAGTTGGAACTGCGAACAACAAACTTGTGATCAGGAGAACCGATCGAAGCTTATGTTTCTGGCGAACCAAAGCTTCACGGACTGTTTCATGATGTCTAACTT